CCCAACTGGGCCAAGAGAAACAAGCGGGGGGAAATCGATAACCGAAGAGAGGGAGGGGGGAGGGGGGCCCACTAGCCAGCACCGCCCCAACATGCCCAGCAGGCCCACACGGGGAGAAGGCCCGCGAACCGGCGGCCACTACACAGGGATCTGGATCTAGGGTACACGTAGCGACCAGCAGCCCCACCGCCGCCGCCGCCGGCGACGGAGCCCCCGCCGCCGGAGACGGAAAGGGAGATGGAGAGCCTCCAAGCTCCCCATCAGGAGCACGACCCAAGACACCAGGCGCAGGGGACGCGAACGCAAGTTTACCAGATCTACGCCGACGTCGCGAGACCCGGAGCCAGCCGTCGGCCGACGGAGGCACCCCCAACTGCCGGCCCCGACCCCCGGGGGCAAACTTACGAGGGCGAGGGGCGGCGCAGGTGACCCCCACCTCCCCAGAGCAGGTCACCGCACCACCGGGGGAGGAAGGTAGAGACCGCGAATCCTCCTCATCCGACAGCAGCGCCCAAAAACGAGATCCAAGAACCGGCAGCGAAGAGAGAGAAGGGGAGAGATCCACCTGCGGGGAAACATGAGAGGATAGGGGGAGGGGAGCTACGCATGAAGGTGAGGGCGACCGGACGCCGGCTACCGGGGAAGGGCGGGGAGCAGATCTGCCGAGGCGAGGAGGAGGAGGGGAAGGGAGAGGAGGGAGAAAGGAAGGAGGAGCCATCTGACTTGGGGGACAAACCATGGGGAAGGGGTTTAGCTCCCGAGCTCATCACCGGCCATCTCTTGTGATCATGCATGCAGCTTTCACATGCACTAGTTACTCCTAACTTGATTTGACTGTGGACAGGGGATATGATATTTGGCTTTCATGACACTGGATTTCCATTTGGAGGAGGGTCGCCATCAAATTATACTACCTAGGTCGGTTGCGAAGTGGGTCATCCAGAGAGCGACCATCGACATGGAAACGACTGTGTGGGACCAACCAAAGTAATTAATTAATTCTTCTGCATACTCATAGTGCATGACTGCATGTCCCCTCTTCGATCCGTAGATTAAGAGGGTGCTTGGATATAAGGGACTATTTTTAGTCTAACTAAAAATAGTCTCTTTTAGAGGCTAAAGTTCCAAGCACCCCTGACTAAAGAGAGGAGTAGTCTTGAGGCTAAAATCTTTTAGTCATGGGAAACCTACTAAAATATGTATTAGCTTTCTCTCTCCTCATTTAATTCCTCTTCTTAGTTCTGGATTGAAGGGTTTGGAGGATAATAAATGCTCAATAACTAGATTTTAGTCTCTTTAGTATTTGGATCCAAGCATGGGTGAGACTAGCAAGTTTTAGTCCCACTACTTTTAGTCATGGGACTAAAACGTATCCAAGCATGCTCTAATTTGAGTGATTTGAAATAAGCTCCACGCCTCCACCCTGGGACTGCTGCTATGCTACGTGCTCTATTTGGTGCATGTGACATTTCAGAGAGAGAGAGAGAGAGAAAGATTAGTTGTAGCTAGTGAGAGACAGTTGTAGTGTTCCTGACTCCAGCTCCCATTTACAATTCCAGTGACTGGCAGTGGGCCGGCCCTCTAGAACGCCACCATATATATGGGAGGCAACCCCGTAGCCCCCGTTACATTTCACTCCACTCCACCCCCTCCACCTCTCCTCCATCCTCTCCGGCCGGCCACATCTGAGACTGACTGAGAGAGACACATACACGCCAGCACGAGCGAGAGAGCCGGGCGAGGGCGCCAAGCCAGCCTCGGACGGGCGGCGCCGTAGGCCGTAGCGGGCGGTCGCTGTTGGTGGCGGGTGGAGGTGGTGGCGGTTACGGTGGAGAAAGGCGCGGGCGCGGGGTGGCCAATTGGGAAAGGGCACCAGGAGATCCAGGGCTCCCCGGATTTTAGCCAGACTTTGCCCGCAATCCATCCGGACTTTCCGCCGGTCGGTGTCCCATCCGTGCGTGTCCCTCTTCCCCTCCTCCCCGGCGAAAGCGAGACGACACAGCCAGCCCGGGGGCGTGCGTGCCTATATAGCTTCAACTGCGTGATCAAGCCCAAGCTGCCTATAGCTAGCTAGCTACGAGTTGGTGTGGTAAGAGGAGCTATAGACCCTATATCTTCTATATATTCTTCTTATCTAGCTGCCTTCTCTTGCGCGCCCTGTGCTGTGTACGCGAGGGCGGTGCGGCCTGTGTATAAATTCGGGCGCTTGTGGCACTCATTGGGTAAAGAGCGGCTGCTCTTTCTCTCTCTTGGGATCGACCGAGAGTACGTGAAAGAGATTGCCAACTGATTAAGTTGGTTCTCTGCTAGGCGCTACTACACGAAGGAACTGCAAAGACCGTGCTCTGATAGGTTGGGGCCTGCGCTGCCGCTGATCAGGCTTCTGTTCTTCCTCTAGTGCAATATGTAAGATCCTCTCTCTCTCTCTCTCTCTCTCTCAACCGGCTTGCATGGTTTTCTAATTAATTAACATGCATTCATGCAGTACCCTCCTTGCATTATTGATTATCTCCTCTACATGTTCTCATCAGTTGCAGATTTCCAAATTAGTGTTTCTGTATCATTGGCGCTTGTTATATTGACTTATTGTGGACCGATGGTAGTGCCGCATACATACGGAGTCTTCGCTCGAGTAGAACACATTCGGTTGATCCTAATTAGTCCCACACATGGATTCAGCTAGGATGCACTTATTTCCAACCTGTTATAAACTGTATATCCAGTCCACCTGTACATTTTATTTTTATTTTGTTGCTTCTCTATAGACCCCCCCCCCCTCCCCTCGTACATGTCGTTCTTGTTCTGTGAAGGGGTTTAATTTCATTGTCCGCTGAAAATACTTGTTATTTTATGTAGTACCTTTGTTAGTTTCATATAAAAAGAAATCCTCACCAGCTGGGAAGGAGACTTAAGATTTTCAGTGCCAAAATGGATATTGTATATCTTGTTTAGCCTTTTTTTTTGTGTTTCCATATTACATCCGTGTCATACCGTACAAATATTGTTCGAAGCATCATATAGTGTTCATACGCTAGCTCGATCATCTACCATATCTTTGGCCTGAAAGTTCCATACTTTTTTTTTGCGAGTAAGCTGAAAGTTCCATACGTACATGTGTGTGTTCACAAATCTTAGCTTCCTTGACACAAAAGTAATCTGGCAAGACATTGAATTAATCAAGTTATCGTGTATGTGATGAAAGTATGACACTTTTTATCTACTGTCATGATTGCTTGCTTTTTCCTGAAATATCATCAATCCCATTGAAATGGAACAAAAGCTTCTCATCCAGTTGTAAACGAAATATACAGATAGTGTGCCCATCTACCAAGCTTGGGTACAAAGCAACATTTTTCACAAGGAAATACATAAGAAGCTAACTAAAAAGAACATTTGTTTTGTTTTGTGAGGGACTACAACTGAAACATCTCATTTTTGTTTATTTTGTTTTGTTTTGATATACCATGCGCCCTAGGTTGAGCTTCCTGCTTGAAAATTTGTGAGAAAGCAGTGTATTTAACAGGCACTCTTATACTAGTATATTATTAATTCGGAAGATCTTGTATGTGCAATTTAATCTTATTACTGTTTTATTTTCTTTGTGATGTAGTCACACCGATAGCGGAATAAAATGGACACTTTCTCCCATGTTCCACCGGGTTTCCGGTTTCATCCTACTGACGAGGAGCTCGTTGATTATTACTTGAGGAAGAAGGTGGCATCAAAGAAGATTGACCTGGACGTCATAAAGGACGTTGATTTGTACAAAATCGAGCCATGGGATCTCCAAGGTAACTAACTAATAATCAGCATATGTTTGTCAGCCCATGCAAACATGCATTGACACAAACCGAAGTCATCGGTCGATCGACCGTGCGCCAATTAATGGAATTTTTTTGTCAAAGCAGACAAGTGCAAGATCGGTATGGAGGAGCAGAACGACTGGTACTTCTTCAGCCACAAGGACAAGAAGTACCCAACGGGCACCCGCACCAACAGGGCGACGAGCGCGGGGTTCTGGAAGGCGACGGGGAGGGACAAACCCATCTACACCAACAACTGCCTCGTCGGGATGAGGAAGACGCTCGTCTTCTACAAGGGCCGTGCGCCCAACGGCCAGAAGTCGGACTGGATCATGCATGAGTACCGCCTCGAGACCAACGAGAACGGAGCCACGCCCGTATGTAATTATTCATCGCTCCATCCTTACCTGTATGCATTTCACTTGCTAACCATGGATATTGCTGGTTTGATCCTTCAGGAGGAAGGATGGGTGGTCTGCCGGGTGTTCAAGAAGCGAGTCGCAACGGTGCGGAGGATGGCAGATATGAACTCGCCTTGCTGGTTCGACGACCATGGCGCTGGCGGTGGGTTCATGCCGGATCTCGACTCGCCGAGGCAGCTCGGGTACCAGCACCAGAACTTGGCGGCGTACCACAGCCAGCCGCAGCAGCAGCAGCATCTGTACCACTGCAAGCCAGAGCTGGAGTACCATCACCTCCTGCCGCAGGAGGCCTTCATGCAACAGCTTCCTCTTCTGGAGAGCCCCAAGCCTACAGCCTACATTGGCCACGGCAGCAGCAGCAGCGTACCATCGTCAATCAGCAACCACCCCCTTGCGCACGACGGAGCCTCCAGGTTCGCAGCGCATCAACCGCCGATGGACCATGCACTTTACACCGGTGACTCGTCGGCCACGGACTGGAGGCTCCTCGACAAGTTCGTCGCGTCTCAGCTGTTCAGTCATGACGGTACCAATCCCAAGGAGCAGGCCACTCACCCCAATCCGGCTATGCAGGTGTTCCAGGTTGAGAACAAGCATGATCAGGCCTTGGACTACGCTTCAACGTCTGCCGGCGGCTCCGGCGGAGGCTCGGCTCATCTGTGGAAATAGCATGCACAAGCAAGCACAACTCCATTGGACACCCTACACAATTTATACAATCCAGATCTGATATAGTGTACAAATATAGCCGGCCATTGTATGCCATGATTTATCATGGTATATATATGCACACACACATATATATACAATAATAAATATGTAACCGAAGTGGTTATGTAGTAGTATCTATTAGTATTTGGTATCAGGTCTCTGGACCTGATGCTAATAAGGTAGCCGAAAGCTGAGGCCAAGGGGCTTCCGTGACTGACTTGACCATTTTGTGAAAATAGTCAAGCTGTTGATGGACATCTATTTTGTGCAGTCCATCACACAAAACGGCAGCTAAGGTCACTGCCGATGCACCGACAATGTTTTATCAACTCTATATATGTATCATGTATCTCCCAATTCATTCAAATGGAATGGAAAGTTTATTTATTGACAAAAAAAAATACTCCTCTGGTAAGATAGCTAGGATGCACTTGAGAATGAAGCAATAGGCACTTTTTTTTAGTGACAGGTGTGTATAATATGTCATGATACATGTACATAGTTTACACAAGGTATCAAATATTTATTCAGTGACAATACTTTATCTACATTCCCCAGTTTACCTCTTTCCGGAAGATTCCCTAGTTTAACTGATTCCGTCGCAATAATGTCACAACATGGAGAAAAGAAGATGGAACGGCTGGATTCTCTGAATTTCTGATCCATTCTGCTTTATCTTTCACCCAATCTTCAAATTTTCCATATATATACAACATTAGTGCTCAACTTTTACCGTATACCGGATCAATCCTCGTTCACTTCGCATCACACAAACCACTAGCTTCATCACAGAAACCATCACGGTCCAGAAGTTTAGGTGGCGGGGCACTTAAAAGAGGGGAGGAAGGGCTCCCATATGCGTTCCGGCGACTGTTGCCACATCCAAGGCTTTTCCGGGTGCTGACTCCAGTTACAGGATTGGTCCCGCTTGCATATTTGCACAAAGCCTACAGTGGAGAATTATCAGAATCGGCATTTTCTATTTGTGTGCCTATAGCTATAGAAAGACAAGTCACGAAAACATTGAAGATGGACCCTGAAGATCACCAGAGTAGGGTGATCCTTTGGTATATCATGGTTTGATGGAGATTCTAAATACGGAACAATATATTCGAATAGTGCATTCAGAATTGACTTTATTACTCAGTGGACATGAGAACAATTTATTTATTTTCTTCTTTCTACAAAGTGCAGCTTTTGTTCACAGTTTATGGGCCAGCTCTTACAAACTAGACACACCAATCCAATAGTAAGAATTCGTAAAGCATAAATGATTGTAACACTTGAAAGCAGGAACGAAAGGAAAGATGCATCTGAAAAAATTGAAGTGCTAAACTGTATCATGGAATCATGAAATTTACAAATGTTGTTTAAGATCATAAACCTACATGGCAGAATTATGCGATAATACTGGGGTCAAAGCAAAATATGTACCAGTTTCTGTGGTAGGTCAATAACAGCATCACTGAAGTCAGCACCTTCAATGGTTGCTCCACCGAGATCACTACGTGTAAGGACGGTCCGTGAAAGCACAGCATTTGTGAGATTAGCTTCATTGAGAACCTGTCCATAATAATTCAATGTTCAAAACTTTGCTTAAAGGTAAATCTGCCATGGAATTATTTATTTAGACAACTATCCCTATTGCAATCAAAACAGGATCAAAGGCTCCAGTAGCCATCATCAGTGAATGGATCACTGAACTTGACTTCACATTTGCGAGTCTGACGATGCATATGCATGCATACATAGCACTAGAAGCACATAAGAATCTCTGACTGCTCTGGCCAAAATATATGCTTCACTACTCTTTTTTTTCACAATCCCAAGGACAAATTCTGCACATGCACAAATGAATACAATGGCACGCTTACTCCTTATTTTGTAAAAGCATCTAGATCAATATGAATCCACTGGGCAATGTGCAACAGGAGATAAAGTGTCCACTCTTGTGTGAAACTATTTTTTGTTCTTGAAAATATTGGCAGGATAAATGCATAATCATTAACATTGGAAACGGCATTTTTATGTACAAAGAGATAAAATTAAAATATACTGATGCCAGGCAGCAGCACAAGAGAACAATCACTGTAGTCCACTCGACAAGAGGCTAACGCCTTAACAGCAACTTTGGACTGTTGAATGCTCTGTGTCAGTGGTTGGCATCCTGCTTTATGAGAAAGGCGAAGGAGTTTAAGTCACTTTCTTGGTGATCAATGTTTGAAGGTTTCTCCCCGTGAGCTTATTTAATCAAGAGTAAGATAATGCAATTTGAAACTATTTTATTGCTTGTTCCGCATTTTCCTAGAGCATATTTCCAAGCATTCAGTGGATGAGAACTCGATGTTCAAATTGCTATTACAGAGGCTACCCAAGAACATTTTTCCATAGTTTTCTAGCAAAAACCAGTCAATGAGGATTGATGTCTATGCTTGACTATGGCTACTGAACATAGCAAGGACAAATTGGGTTATTTTGGCCATCCTGATCAGTGTAGGATTTCTGCTGTAAGAATCTTATTTTGGAGATGAACCATGTCAAGAATTTGAACCTTCGTTACACATTAACTCTCCTGATTGTTAATGTTAAAACCTTAGAAGTTTACGGCTGGACTCGTCTGACTATTCATTACTAGACTCTCAAGACACTCGTATACACTTGAATATCATAACCAAGAAATGCAGACAGATAAAAAAGACAACACATGAGAACTGAAGAGATGGCAAAGCAGCATGCTCCAGAGCACCTCATACATATATATAGAAGCGGAAAAGACATATGATCACATTGACTTTCTTAGTTAGCAACTACATCATCAACCAGTTGTAGTTTCCGATACAAAAGTTCCCATTTCATCAGTCTTCTATATTTCTTTATTTTGAACAGGAAATGGTTGGGAAACCTCCGATCCATAAAAAGTGTCGCAGTTTTGAACTGAACAAGTTCAAAACTGCGAGACTTCTTTTGGATCGGAGGGAGTAACATTTATTTCAGTCTTCTGTTCTATTTCATCATTCAGATAATTAGATATTTCTGTGCTGTTAAATTTTCATGCATGAATGACACAAACAGAACAAGTCAATAGTATAGAGCTGGCACCAACAAATTGGGTTCTTACTATGACATCTTGTCTTGCCTTAAATTATTAAGCAGTGTTATCATCATAGTAGTTCATTACTAAAGAAAATAGAATACATTGATCGAAATATTAAGGTTGGCATAGCAATTTATTTCTGCAGAACACATAAACACATACAGTCTACAGGAACATGACAGTATGCGCTACATGTATGGTTACATGAATTAAAACAAGCATGATCAAGGTAAAGAAACCATTCTGGTTTTACCATGCGATCCATTAAAGTGTCACTCAAATCTGCACCTGCACGAAACCAAAACAGCAGTATAGTAAAAATCATTTCATGAATATCCATATGAGAAGATTTAAGTACCACGTGCCAATATTGATTGCAGTCAAAACCACTAGGGTAAAAGTCACAGAGAATTCTACTATAACTTTCCACTGCCAGTAGCTAAAGCTTTGTTAGTACCATAGTGATTCAACTTGGAACCAAAAAAAGACAATGAACTTCGTAGTTAGATTCCTTCGCTGAGTTTATACTCAGAAGAAATAGTGGAGTTGCTTGTAAGTGTAGTAGCTAGAGTGATGTAAAATATCTCTATTGTAGTGGTCTCCCAGATAAGGCACATCAGAGGACCACTGATGACTAAAGGAAGGTAATTAATTATGTGGACTGAGGACATTGCACACATCAGGTATCATAGCATTTGCGAGGACGGCTAACATCTCCAAGAGATGAAAAGGTGTTACTACTCTTGCCTGTGAAATTTGCTCTGAAAGCAACAGCCTTTTCCATATAGGCACCATTGAATGTGGAACCACTAAAATCTGATTCCCTCATATCAGCAGATGTGAAGTTCGCCCGCCTACATTAATAACTAATGTCTTAGGTAAAGGCAAAATGATGAATAGAAAAATCTACTACTCCCTCTGTTCCAAAATAAGTGTCATGGTTTCAGTTCAAATTAGAACTAAAACCACGACATTTATTTTTGAACGGAGGGAGTATTATTTCAGTTAACCATGCTGACAAAAAAAGTTAAGATAAGCATCACAATAACAGCTACATTGTTCCACTAAACACAGCTTATTGCTGCAGATTATATTGTTTTTCTCGAACATGCATGTAAATGCACACCATTTGTATTTTGATGCAGACTTACAGTTAATTTGGTTGAACATTAGGACCGCCCTTCCTCCATTATAAGCAAACTTTATACAGAGAGATCTTAACATATACAAGAAGGACAGACGAATTGGCAAGACGGACAAACCAATCACCAATGTTTCAGAATGCATCATCCACCTAGGCTCAAAGGTCTAAAGAATGTGACTTTCCACCGACAACACAAGCATGGCGATATAAGATTGAGCTAGATAGCTTGAAATACCATTTTATAGAATACAGTATCTAAAAAAAACAAGAATGTCATATTTGGGGTGCACAAGTATGTACTACCTGTAAGCAGCAGAACTTGACATAGAGGCATCTACGAATACTAACTTATACAGATAAATTTAACTGTTTGTGGAATGATTTTGAAGGCCATAGGAAACTTCATCTTGCCAACTGGAAAATGGTGTGTATGAAGAAAGAATTTGGAGGCTTGGGAATCCCAAACCTCCAAGATGTCAACTTGTGTTTACTAGGTTCCTGGGTGAAGAGATACTATGAGAGTGAAGGAAAACCATGGAAAATGATCTTTGATCACAAGTACATGTCTGGTAAGATTAATATTTTTGCTCCTAACCTATCCCCCAGTGCCTCCAGATTCTGGAAGGGGCTGAAAACCATTATCCAAGCACTAAAACTTGGTTATAGGTGGAAAGTTGGGTCGGGTGAAAAAGTTAGGTTTTGGGAAGACACCTGGTTTGGTACCTCCCCACTGGCAGTGCAATTCTGGCCTATCTACTCAATTTGTAATGAACAAACCAATAGTGTCAGGGAAGTTTGGGATGGTACGCAACTTAGGCTTACTTTTAGAAGGAATTTTGATGATAGACTCATGGAACAATGGTATCAGTTAGTGGAGATAACCAGTAGTCTGACCCTTACCAATGAAACTGATGCCCTTGTCTGGCAGTTAGAGAACAGGGGGGTTTACTCCACTAGCTCACTTTACCATGTGATTAATTTTAGGGGGGTGCAACCAGTCTTTATACCTTCGGTGTGGAAGCTAAAAATTCCACCAAAATCCATGTCTTCCTGTGGCTCCTTGCCAACAACAAGCTAATGACCAGGGATAACCTCAGGAAAAGACAGATTATTAAGCCGCTTGAGTGTGTGTTCTGCTCTGAGGCTGAAACATGCTCGCATTTGTTTTTTGACTGTGTGGTCTCTAGACAGATCTGGCCTCTGGTCTCAAATCACTTCGGGGTGGATACTGGAACTGATTTCGAATCAGTGGCCAGACTCTGGATTGCCAACAAAAAGCACTCTGCTCTCAACACAACTAATGTTGTTGTACTTTGGTGTATTTGGAAATATAGGAACTCTATGATTTTCAATAACACCATGTGGACATCCATTAAACAGGTGATGAGGCTGATTCTAAAAACCATCAAGAACTGGGTGATCCTGTCCTCGGATGGGGCAGCAGAAAGGCTGGAGGCCTTCACGACACACCTAGCGACCAATCTGAGACAACCACTGATGATCGGTGGCTGATCATGAAGCTCGCTGGAGCCCCGTTGGTGACTCCATGGGACAAGCTGAAGATCTCCGACGACGCAGTGGGCTTCCCGTCCCCCTCCAAGAAGCGCTCAGAAGCTGCATCGATGTCGAGCCCAACCTCAACACTGGTGGCTGCCTTGTCCCCTCAGGCGGTGACTGCACCGCCACTGAAAGTGCGCAAGGCATCCCATGAGCTGATCTGCATCTGATGCTAAGCAGTGCCTGTGATCCGGTTGATTTACCTTTGTACTGGCTTAAAGCCATCGTTTTTCTTTCTGAACTGCTCTTCTTAGTGAGCTTATGTAATAACTGAATCTGAACTGAATTTGGTTTCATTAATATAATGGAACCGGGGAAGGCTCCCTGTTCTTCTAAAAAAAATATTTTTACTAGAAACCAACCTGAAGTTTTCGTTAACATGCACAGTGTTTCTGCAAAAACCACAGAAGAGGACAGCATCAGCAACCCAGTGCAGTAAAACGAGCAGGAACGAACAAGAGACGGAAAGATGCAGGTGGCGCGTGGTACTTGAGGTCCGCATTGCCGAACTGCGCGGCTGAGCCGATGCCAAACTCGCCCCTCTGATCCGCCTCGTACTTGTTCAGATCTGCGTGGGCAGGCATCGCTGCGACTACGGCGGCCGCGAGAGCTGCAGAGACCGCTACGCGCCACCTCGGCGGCGCCGGCGACGTGTTCGACGCATTGCCGCCGCGGGGGCGGTCGGTGGTCGCCTGGCAGGAGATGCGTTGTAGGCGGCCTGAACGACAGCGCGTGAGGGGAGCGGAAGCCTTAGGTCGAGCGGCGGTGGCGGCAAGAGGGGAGGTGGAAGCGAGAGCCATGGCGGATTAGAGAGGAGGGTGAGATGGGGAGTGGAGGGGTGGTGGCTCGCGCGCGAACACGTAACGGGCGGCACAGCCATCGGACGGGGAGCACGGGGTACGGGGAGTAAATCTAGTGGTCGCAGATTTTTGGGCCCTCGTATTGTTTTGGGGCCACTGTCACTCCCATTTTGTCATTTTTCTATAAATGAAAGCCCGTCTGCACTTATGGACTAATGGGCCTCGCCTGAAGCATCCACACGTATGGACTGGCCCAGTAGCGTGTTTCTCGGTTGTGCGTTCGGTCGGTCGGTTCAATCGTCGTTGTGATTGTTTCGGGTTTTACCAAGCGGACAGCTTGTTAAGCTACCAACAACAAAAAAAAACAATCAATGATTGTTTCGGGTTTTTCTCTTTTTTTTTCTTCCATTTTTTTTTCTTCATCGGTTTTCTTCCATTTTTTTATTTGCTATACTTTGTTCTTTGTTCTTTCTCGGTTTTATCTGGTTTTTTTCTTTTTTTTGGGCTTTTCATTTTTTGCTTACGCGCATTGTCACCTCGTCCTTCGCTAGTCTTCGTTCATTCCGCAGCTTCTGTTTTGAGTTAGAAATATGAGCAACCGCACCGGTATCAAATACCCAGGAGCTACTACGAGTACTGGTAAGGTACACATCAATAACATGTATATCACATATACCTTTGGTGTCCCCGGCCTTCTTGTCCGCTAAGTACTTGGGGCAGTTTCGCTTCCAGTGTTCGTCCCTTGCAATAAAAGCACCCAGTCTTAGGTTTGGATCCATGCTTTGGCTTCTTCCCGGCAACTGGTTTACCCGGCGCGGCAACTCCCTTGCCGTCCTTCTTGAAGTTCTTCTTACCCTTGCCTTTCTTGAAACTAGTGGTTTTATTGACCATCAACACTTGATGTTCCTTTTTGATCTCCACCTCCACTGATTTCAGCATCGAATATACCTCAGGAATGGTTTTCACCATCCCCTGCATATTGAAATTCATCACAAAGCTCTTGTAGCTAGGTGGAAGCGACTGGAGGATTTGTCGATGACCGCGTCATCCGGGAGATTAACTCCCAGCTGAGACAAGCGGTTGTGCAACCCAGACATTTTGAGTATGTGCTCGCTGACAGAACCATTCTCCTCCATCTTACAACTGTAGAACTTGTTGGAGACTTCATATCTCTCGACCCGGGCATGAGCTTGGAAAACCATTTTCAGCTCTTGGAACATCTCATATGCTTCGTGCTGCTCAAAACGCTTTTGGAGCCCCGGTTCTAAGCTGTAAAGCATGCCGCAATGAACCAGGGAGTAATCATCACTACGCGACTGCCAAGCGTTCATAAGGTCTTGAGTTGCTGGGAAAACGGGTGCTTCACCTAGCGGTGCATCTAGGACATATGCTTTCTTGGCAGCTATGAGGATGATCCTCAAGTTCCGGACCCAGTCCGTACAGTTGCTACCATCGTCTTTCAGCTTGGTTTTCTCTAGGAACGTGTTGAAGTTGGGGGCAACATTAGCATGGGCCATTTGATCTACAAGACATATTGCAAAGATTTTAGACTAAGTTCATGATAATTAAGTTCATCTAATCAAATTATTTAATGAACTCCCACTCAGATAGACATCCCTCTAGTCATCTAAGTGATACATGATCCGAGTCAACTAGGCCGTGTCCGATCATCACGTGAGACAGACTAGTCATCATCGGTGAACATCTTCATGTTGATCATATCTCCTATACGACTCATGTTCGACCTTTCGGTCTCTTGTGTTCCGAGGCCATGTCTGTACATGCTAGGCTCGTCAAGTCAACCTAAGTGTTTTGCGTGTGTAAATCTGGCTTACACCCGTTGTATGCGAACGTTAGAATCTATCACACCCGATCATCATGTGGTGCTTCGAAACAACGAACCTTTGCAACGGTGCATGGTTAGGGGGAACACTTTCTTGAAATTTTATGAGGGATCATCTTATTTATGCTACCGTCGTTCTAAGAAAATAAGATGTAAAACATGATAAACATCACATGCAATCAAATAGTGACATGATATGGCCAATATCATTTTGCTCCTTTTGATCTCCATCTTCGGGGCGCCATGTCATACTCATCGACATGCAAGTCATGATTCCTATTACAAGAACATGATCAATTTCATACATCACATATATATCATTCATCACATCCTTTTGGCCATATCAAATCACACAGCATATGCTGCAAGAACAAGTTAGACATCCTATAATTGTTGTTGCAAGTTTTTACGTGGCTGCTATAGGTTTCTAGCAAGAATGTTTCTTACCTACGCCAAAACCACAACGTGATATGCCAATTGTTATTTACCGTTCATAAGGACCCTTTTCATCGAATCCGATCCGACTAAAGTGGGAGAGACAGACACCCGCTAGCCACCTTATGCAACTAGTGCATGTCAGTCGGTGGAACCTGTCTCACGTAAGCGTACGTGTAAGGTCGGTCCGGGCTGCTTCATCCCACAATGCCGCCGAATCAAGATAAGACTAGTAGTGACAAGTAAATTCACAAAATCGACGCCCACAACAACTTGTGTTCTACTCATGCATAGAAACTACGCACAGACCTAGCTCATGATGCCACTGTTGGGGATCATTGTAGACATTAAAATTTTCTATGCATCACCAAGATCAATCTATGAAGAAACTAGCAACGAGAGAGAGGGGAGTGCATCTTCATACCCTTGAAGATCGTGACATGGAAGCTCTACAAGAACGCGGGTGAAGGAGTCGTACTCGTAGTGATTCAGATCGCGATGGATTCCGATCTAAACGCCGAACAATGGCACCTCCGCGTTCAACACACGTGCAACCCGGTGACATCTCCCTTGCCTTGATCCAGCAAGGAGGAGGGAGAGGTTGAGGAAGACAGCTCCAGCAGCAGCACGACGACGTGGTGGTGGTGGAGCAGCGGTTCTCTGGCAGGGCTTCGCCAAGCTCAAACGGAGGAGGAGAGGTGTTGGAGAGGGTGAAGGTTGCGCCTTGGATGTGGTGCGGCTGCCCTTCCTCTCCTCCCCTCTTTTTATAGGGTGAAGGGTGAAGGGGGCTGGCCCCTCTAGACCAAGGGGAGGGGCTTGCCCCCCAAGCCAAGGGGGTGCCCTCTTTAGGGTTCCCCCCAATCCTAGGCGCATGGGCCCTAGGGGGGGGTGGCGCCCAGCCCACTTGGGGATGGTTCCCTTCCACATACAGCCCATAAGGGCCCTCCGGGGCAGGTGGACCCTCCTGGTGGACCCCCCGGAACCCCTTCGGTGGTCCCGGTACAATACCGATAAACCCCCGAATACTTCCGGTGACCGTATGATGACTTCCCATATATAAATCTTCACCTCCGGACTATTCCAGAACTCCTTGTGACGTCCGGGATCTCATCCGGAACTCCTAACAACATTCGGTAACCACGTACAAACCTTCCCTATAACCCTAGCATCATCGAACCTTAAGTGTGTAGACCCTATGGGTTCGGGAATCATGCAGATATGACCGAGACAGCTCTCCGGCCAAAAACCAATAGTGGGATCTGGATACCCATGTTGGCTCCCACATGTTCCACGATGATCTCATCGGATGAACCACAATGTCGAGGATTCAAGCAATCCCGTATACAATTCCCTATGTCAATAGGTACGTTACTTGCCTGAGATTCGATCGTCGGTATCCCAATACCTCAATCAATCTCGTTATCGTCAAGTCACTTTATTCGTTCCATAATGCATGATCTCGTGACCAACTACTTAGTCACATTGAGCTCATTATGATGATGCATTACCGAGTGGGCCCAGAGATACCTCTCCATCATACGGAGTGACAAATCCCAGTCTTGATTTGTGCCAACCAAACAGACACTTTCGGAGATACCTGTAGTGCACCCTTATAGCCACCCAATTACGTTGTGAGGGTACAACCAAAGCATTCCTATGGTATCCAGGAGTTGCACAATCTCATGGTCTAAGGAAATGATACTTGACATTAGAAAAGCTTTAGCAAACGAACTACACGATCTTGTGCTATGCTTGGGATTGGGTCTTGTCCATCACATCATTCTCCTAATGATGTGATCCCATTATAAATGACATCCAATGTCCATAGTCAGGAAACCATGACCATTTGTTGATCAACGAGCTAGTCAACTAGAGGCTCACTAGGGACATGTTGTGGTCTATGTATTCACACATGTATTACGGTTTCCGGTCAATACAATTATAGCATGAATGATAGACAATTATCATGAACAAGGAAATATAATAATAACCATTTTATTATTGCCTCTAAGGCATATTTCCAACAGTATGTATGTATAGTATATACCCGTGATCACCTCTCGAGTGATCACGGCCCGATAGTATAGCAAGGCAGACGGACAAGAGTGTAGGGCCACATATGATAAAGTAGCATCCTATACTAAGCATTTAGGATTGCAGGTAAGGTATGAACAGATGTAGCAACAATGACAGGCTATGCAACATGATATGATTAATTGAAAACAGTAACAGGCTATACTACTCTAATGCAAGTAGTAGAGGGTAAAATAGGCGATATCTGGTGATCAAGGGGGGGGGGCGGCTTGCCTGGTTGCTCTGGCAAGAAGGAGGGGTCGTCAACACCGTAGTCGTACAGGGTAGCAGCGGCGTTGGTCTCGGTGTCTAGCGAGAGAAGAGGGGAAAGAAACAATAAATATAATGCAAACATATGCATGAAAATGCATGCCATGACAATGAGCGGTGCTAGGTGGGCTCTAACGCTGCAGTAGGTGATACCGGCGAAGGGGGAAACATCCGGGAAAGTATCCCCGGTGTTTCGCGTTTTCGGACAAACGAACCGGAGGTGAAATGTTGCAGGTTTGCTATGCTAGGGATGCGTGGCTAACGAACGGGCTGCATATTCGGATTCGCCTCGTCGTTTTGAGCAACTTTCATGTACAAAGTTTTTTCATCCGAGTTACGGATTATTTTATATTAATTTTCAAAGTTTTAATCAATTTTC